TAATCTTGGACATTGTTATGAAAATAGAATAGGAGTTGAAAAGATATGCTTCTGTCATTTTATAATTTTAAGAGCTTGATAAGAAATCAATAATTTTCAGAGCTTGATAAGAAATCAGTAATTTTCATTAAGCATTACAGGCTAAATTAATGAATATCGAGTGCATACTGGAAAATAAGTTTTCTGATATATACCTGTTAGTTTGCCAAAGACCAGCCAAATACCTGCTGAATATTAGCAGTATATTAGCAGCATATGGGTAAGATTTTGGAAGGTAGATTGATATTGGTAACATTGTAACCGAAATATTCGGTTTAGAGTTGGGTTAGGTCTTTGTTAGAAGAAATTCAAGACGAAGAGGCTTTTATTTAGATAGTTATTTAGGATATGATAGTGGATTATGTCTCTTCAAGAGACTAATTTATATCTCTTTTATAATTCTTCTATGAATAACTAACTATTTTAAATAAATCTTTAAACTATTTACTGGCCCTGTTATGCAAAACGATTTTATGCATACCGATTTATGTATAACGATTGTATGCATAACAATTTATGCATAATGAATTTATGCATAATGAAAATAATAAATATCAAATAAATAAATAAATAAATAAATAAAAATATATACTAAAAAAAATTAATTTTAGTAATGGCCGTATGTAGTACGCGGGATCATGTAACTACTGCGATGTTATATGTGAAAATACCACTCTGTTACACTTCCCCTCCTTCAAAAATGCGAGATCCTCCAAGTATAATTAACCAGTAATTATGAAATTCTAAACTTCTATATAAAAAATAAAAAATAAACTAATTCTATTTAGGGGTTTTAGGTTCCTTGATGTATCTGTAACCAGAAACAGAGATTTTAAACAGGATAACCTCACAACCAAAAACTTATTCATAGCTAACCTATAGCCAAATTTACATCTATGACTATTCAAAAAAACTAAAGTTTCAATAGACAATACTGCCTCTTTTAGTGATTCTGTTTTGTACTATTGCTATAACATTGCCTCTTTCGGCAATTCTATATTATAATGCTGCCTTATGCGGCAAATCTGCAAAACTTCATGCGCAAATCTTATTTCTCGCCAGACTAGTCTCTATCATTGTGCCTCACAAAATACATATGTACTAAAAAAAAACTTGTTTAAAAACTAACAAAAAATAATTCGTCTAAACTAAAAAAATAAAAAGTAAAAAAAAGAAAAACATAACATCTAAAAAAAATATAACATTTATATATCAAAAAAAAAAATAAAAATAAAAATATCAACTAAAACTTTTAAACTTCACATTCGGAATTCAGGGTAGATAAGTATTTTTCTTCACGTCATTAATTAATTATTTATTCTTAGGGCCAGGTCAACTTCTAAATTCTTATAGGACTATACTAAAAATCAGGTGGTATTTCTTTCATCTTGTCTTGATATCACACACATGATCATCGGATTATCAGTTATTTGATGATCCACCAACTATCTACTAACTTAAAAAAAAATTTTTTTTCTTTTTTTTCTATTTTTCAGTTTTCCGTTTAGATCACTACCATACTTATGACATTCGCTTATTTCCACTTATAACTTCGCTTTTCAGATTTTCTACATTGTTTCAGGTTTTTTTTGATGCTTTCTTAAGCCTTGGCTTCTCAAGCCACTTCCACGACAAATGGACTTCAAGATCTTTTACTGTTACCAATCTTGGACTCAAGATGTTGGTAGCAAGATTTTTTTTTGACTTGCTTTTTATGGTTCTTTATGCCTTTTACTGCTCAATCTTTTCTTATAGTCCAGGGATTCAAGATCTCTCCATATCGACGTAGTAAAAAACTCCAAAATACGACATCGTTTCTAGATTTTGCAGCCAGCCTGCTTGTACTTCTTTTCGTGTCGCTAAGTATAACTCTTATCATTTTTTTTTTTTCTCCCTTTTTTTTTTTTCTACTAAAACTTTGGACTTGAGTTCATTTTTCTCAACACCGATTTCTTTTTGATAACATTGCCATTTTTATAAAGCGGTGTTCAAGGCCTAATATATGTTTCGCCTTCTCATAGCAACATTCAGAACATACATTGTATCAGCATAACTCATTTCTGCTGATCTTTATGCCTTACTTTGTCACCATCATATTCATGACTTGTCATCGGGGCTCTTAGGTTTGTCTTCGGCTTTTTTGCCCTCTTTACTTGAATTTGATTCTTTGGGCTCTACTGCTAGGATCAGTCTTTTTTTTTTTTTTTTTTTTTTTTTTTTTTTTTTTTTTAAAGTCTCTATCTTCAAAATTTACTTCGACTGGTGATCTAAATCCGATACATGAATATAGAATACCTTCTAAGTCATCAGGCAGGTTGCAAGCAATTCTTAGATTTATTCTATTTCTAGCATAAAATGCTAGCTTGTTTCTGAAATTTAGATAGCATCCAATATTATTACCAGTAGTATATGATGGTTTCTATGACTCGCCACTTCTGGAACAAAATAAATGTCCATTATCATCATAGTAACCCCAAGAGTTATTTTATTGCCCAGGCATTACCATGATATCTATATTTTCTCAGAGTTTGGGACATCGCAAGACTAGAGTTTGCCGGGGGCTCTCTTTTAAGCAACGAGGAGCCTTGTGATTTGGGTAGATGCTGGGAATTGGTTTGAAATTATTTTTCTTTAAAATTTATATTTGCCAACTTACATTCTTCTGACCATTGCTTTGACATATATAGGACCTAGTATTACTTTGTTCTGGGTTAATATTTGAGGCATTATGGTAAATTGGACGAAATATTGGAACCGAATGCAATGGACTATTCGAAGATGCATATGAGTGGTTGTTTGTAGAGCCGTTGTATCCTTTTTACAATATGTGCTTTTGTTTTGTTTTTTGTTTTTCAGAACAAAAAAAATATGGAATGTATTGTTCAGTGAAACATTAATATAGGGAACAACTAATTCTTATTTTAGTGCACATTATGTGTAAATTCGAGTAGTTAATTCAGGGTTATGGGAAAAATAATTAGTGGGACATTTTAGACGAATATTAGGGCATGGAGCTTTTGACTATGCTATTGCGAACAAGAAGCATGTGTGAAATCGGACGTAGGGTGTAGGACTTTCAGAAACAGGTATATCCTTTTTATTTTTTACAATATAGTCTTTGTTTTGTGTTTTTTCATTAATATCTCATACTAATGTTTACTTTAGGGTCAGAATACTAGGTAAAAAAATACGGAACATGAAAATATTAGGTGAAGTGTGAATCGGGATATTGGTATGAGGGAGCAGGTAGGGTATAGACTAGTTTTATCTTGTAGGACATAGCCATCTTTGAGTTGAATTTCTTCAGGTAGGTGACCTGGGTCCTGTCGTCATCGCCAAGTGTAATTGAAATATTCGGGTTAGAGTTGGGTTAGGTCTTTGTTAGAAGAGATTCAAGACAAAGAGGCTTTTGTTTAGATAGTTATTTAGGATATGATAGTGGATCATGTCTCTTCAAGAGACCAATTTATATCTCTTTTATAATTTTTCTATAAATAACTAACTATTTTAAATAAATCTTTAAACTATTTACTGGCCCTGTTATGCAAAATGATTTTATGCATAATGATTTATGCATAACAATCGTATGTGTAATGATTTATGCATAATGAATTTATGCATAACGAAAATAATAAATATCAAAAAATAAATAAATAAAGAAAAATATATACTAAAGAAAAATAATCTTAGTAGCAGTGTTCGAAATTAGTGTTCTCAGAGTTCTCATGAGAACATGATTATAAGTTTGTGAACAGTAAAAATTTTTTACTGTTCACTATTAAAAATTTTTTGAGAACAGTAAAATAAAAATAGTGTTCTCATAAGTGATGAATAATATAATACATAGATGATAAATGTTATATTATTAGGTAGTTAATATGTGACTTTTTTTTTTTTAGTGAGCATAAATGAGAACACAAACAGCAAATTGAGAACACTCATAGTTATTATACTGTTCTCATGAGAACAGCAATTAAACCTGAAATTTCGAACATTGCTTAGTAGTGGTCATATGTAGTACACGGGATCACGTGACTACCGCGATGTTATATGCGAAAATACCACTCTGTTACAACATAATATATTGGAATACCCTGATATTTTACTTTTAGCACTCTAAACCTAAAAGTAAGATATTGAGGTATCCCAATACAGATAAACCTCTCTAAGTGCACCCTTCCTAAGTACACACACTCTCTAAATGCACACTGTGGCCTAGTTCCAATGTTGGGACTTAGAACTTAAATGCACACCCTCCATATTCTGCACGTGCAAGAAATTCCGAGTCCCGGACCTATGCGTGCACCTTCCATAAATGCACACACGTGATATCATCCAATCATAATTGAGGATTTTCACATATAACATCTCATTGTTACGTACCTTCTTTTTAATTTTGAATCATCCAGTTTGTCGCTAGAAGTTTAATGGAAATTTACTAAGAGTTGAATTAATATGGTTTGAACCTTTTATTGCTATAATCCTACTGCAATAAAATAATAATGTCATAGAAAGTTAAAGTTTTATTAAAATCTTTTGCCGGGCATTCTTAAAAAAAAAAAAAAAAAAAAAATTAAATTATGTATTGTGCATACTGTGATTTCAGCTAGAATTGGACATTTAAAAATTCTTAAAATAGATTACTAATGCTTGGATAAGTTAGATTAATCGCTATAAAGAATAATGATAATCGAAAAGTCAATCAAATTAAATATAGAACTTTAAAAAAGCTTGAATGAGCTAAAAGCATACAAGTCATTAAGATCCTCAATATAAATTGGTTTTTGAACATTTGGACATTAACAATCGGTTGCTTAATTTTAGAATGATGATATAAGAATAGTGCAAAAATCATACATACCAAAAAAAAAACAAAAAAAAAAACAAAAATGTCTTCTAAGAAAGTTACGTTAACTGATGCACAAAAGACTGCATTATGTATTTATACTCATGATAATAAAATGACTCGAGCTAAATATGTTGATTGGATAGAACAACAATGGGGTGTCAGAATTGATAAAAGTACGGTTTTAAGAATTTTAAAAACTAGTGAAAAATGACTTAGCTCTGAAGTCTCCAACTCTAATATAAAACGGCATAGAGCTATTACTGTTCTAGAGGTTGAGCTTGCGCTAAAGGAGTTCATGTTAAATTATCAATATAGGACAATTTTAAGCGATGCCATCTTGATTCAAAAAGTGAAGTTACTTGCTGCTGAGTTAGGAGTTCCTGAAAGAACATTACAATTTTCTTCCAGCTGGCTGCAAAAGTTTAAAGAGTGTAATGGTATTTGACAAATAAAGCTTCAGGGTAAAGCTACATCTGCAGACAATGATGCTATTATCAGCACATTACCATTGTTAAGATCTAAATGTGCCAGTTATCTACTTCATAGAATATACAATATGGATGAAACTGGGCTTTTTTATCACTTAGAACTGGACCGAACCTTGGCAACCCATCGTATTGCTGGGCGTAAAGTAGATAGAGAACATATTTCAGTTGCACTATGTGCAAATGCAGATGGCTTACATAAACTAAATCTGTTAATAATTGGAAAATATCAAAAGCCAAGATGTTTCAAAAACATAAATATCAAAAACATGCCATTTATGTATCGGAATAATACCAAAGCCTGGATGATCACAACGTTTTTTCAAGACTGGCTTAAAGAATTTGATTGCCAAGTCGGTTTGAAACATGATAGTCAACATGCACTTCTGCTTTTAGACAAGTGCTCCAGTCATAAAACTAATTATCTAAATCTACAATATGTAGATGTTCATTTTTTACCTACAAAGACAACTTCAAAAATTTAACTAATAGATGCTGGAATAATTATAAGTTTTAAAAGGCACTATCGTTATCATTATATTCTCTGGATGTTACAGCAAATAGAAGCAGGTAATCATGCAGAAGATTTAAAAATGGACGTCTTACAAGCTATTCGATGTGCTAAAACTATTTGTAATTGCTGGTGACATACTAAAATTCTTCCTATAAGCTCTAATGCGGATCTACGAAATCTTTCTGAAAATATTTGTCAAGTTATTGATTCTGAAATTGATGAACTTGCTGTACTTATTGAAAACCTTTATTTTTCGGACCCTATGCAGGTTGAAGAGTTTTTATCTATCCCCGAAGAAAACTTTGTTTATGAAGTTCCTGATGATGATTATATTATTTCAGAGATTGTTAAAATTTTTTTAAAAAATAAAGAAGATTTAGATGAAACTGAAGAAATGGATAATAGTTCTGAGATTCCTATTGTTAGTGCCGATTTAGCACTTGAAAGTTTGGAAACCGTTTATATGTACCTGCTACAACAAGATAACACAAGTGAGCAGCTAAAGCTAGTTGATAAAGTCAAAAAAGTGATTAAAGAAAAAAAAGTGGGCGCAATAAAACAATCACAAATAGATCAGTATTTTAAACAAAATGATAAAACTAGTATTGACGAGTAAGAATATACTTATTATTAAAAGCTTACCGAATTAAATAAATTTAACATATTAATTTATTATCAAAAATTTATAGGGATCAGCTTTCATCTGACGTTTATAACCCTGAATATTATTGTTGAAGCGAAATAAGCTAAAAAAATTAGCATTGAAATTTTATTTAAAAAAAAAAAAAGCAAAAAAGAAAAAAAAAAAGAAAAAAAAATTAAACTGAATTATTTCAGTAGAAAAGGTACTAAAATGGGTTATTTAAAAGAATCAGATATAGGTTATTCAAAGAATCGGATATAGGTTATTCAAAGGATTGGATATGGGTATTCAAAAGAATCAGATATTGTTATTCAAAAGAATCAGATATGATTTATTTTGATAAAATGTTTAAAGTTGGTTATTTTTTTATCATTATAATATTTTTAGAATAATATAAAATTTGACAATTGTTAAAATAACGGAATTAGGACTCTTTTTTCTGGTGTTACGGGACCAAAAACGTTTAAATAAATAAAAAAGCCAATGCAAGAAGCTTTTCTTTTAAATTGACAAATAATTATTATATCGAATATTATTATTTTTATAAAAATTAGTATATAATGCTTGTACAATATAGTGTTTTACTAAAAGTATTTTAATATTTTTTACTTGAAAATAATGAAAAGGCTTAATTGCAATAGTATAATTTGATTGGACCACCGTCACGTGACAACTTTGTATAAAATCTCTAAATGCACACCCTCTCCAAATACATGCCCATACCCGGTCCTAAGAGTGTGCACTTAGGAAGGTTTATCTGTATTTTGTTACTATGTTGCTGATATTGATTTATCTCAAGATATCTTACCAATATGCTGCTGATATTCAGAAGGTATTTGGCAGATCTTTGGCAAACTAACAGGTACATATCAAAAAACTTTTTTCTAGTATACACCTGATATTCATTGATTCAGCCTATGCATGAGCAAAATAATATTAATAGAATAGTTATATATAGCTCTAACTTCATATTAGGCTACCCTAACTTTCAAAAGGGTAGTTATATCAAAAAATAAAAAATTTGAATAAATTATTAACTTAGTTAGTGTCAAGATCCGTTTGGTTAAACATCTGGATATGAGAATAGTATGAATATTTAGATATCAAATTTTACTTACAGATTGTAAATTCAGATAACAAAAATATTCCAGATAGTCATCTAAATAATATCCGGATGATTATATGGACTTTTAATTTACCATAATAAGAATAAAATTATTGGTCAACATATTCTAATTGGCTATTATCTGGATATCTATAATAGTTACAGATATCTGGAGATATTTGGATGATCTGATGCCCTATATAGATAGCTGTTTTTGAGTGTGGATGACTATCCAGATCCCAACACTAATGTTTGATTATTAAGCTCCGCAACTACAAAAACAGTACAAAAAGATTAGGCTCTATAGCTGCTATAACAATGCAAAAACCCATGTTGTAATTAGGCTCTATGGCAGCTACAGGCAGTACAAGAGCCTCATATTTGGTGATTAAGCACCATAGCTACGATAGCAGTACAAATTCTGTAATAATAGTAACTCAGTAATTTTTTATTATATACTGATCATGTATTAATTATACTGAAATCCAGCTATAAACACCAATTTTTTGGCAATCCAAAAAAAAATGCTGAAATCTAAAACATATGCCATAATCTAATTTATTGAGGCCTAAGAATTAGCAAAAAATTAAAAACTAAACCAAAGCAATGCCGGGTCCTATATGCTAATATCAAATTCAAATAATAATATATTTTATACTTATCTTAGGTATCCCCAAATTCAATTAGCACAGCAAAACTTTATAGTAATATAAATGAACATGGTAGTCCGTCATTATTTAAACCTAAAATAAAAAAACAAATTTTGCCAAAAAAATTAGAAGAAGAATTAGAAACATTTCTTAATAATAAAAATAATGTGAATATAAGTTTATACAAAACAGATAAAGAGAGACATGCAATTAAATATTTAAATGATAATAAAGAATGCCTTTGAAAATGCATTTCTCAAACATTCCAAAATAGAATAAAAAAAATAGCCTTTATGACTTGGTTAAAAAAAGGACTATTTCAATATTGTGAAAATTTAGAAAGATTATATGCTATATGTAATCAATATGGATATGAGATTTTTAATTATTCAAGAACTGAATAACTCTGAAAAACAGATAATAGGATTTTTAAAACAAAATTACTATTATTTGCCAATTGCTCTTGAGTGATTAATACTTTTTTAAAACTGTTATTTATGAAATAACTACTTTTTAAAAATATAAAATAGGTTTGGGCTCTATAGCTTAGTAGTTAAGCTGCCAAACCCCCACAGTATAAGCTAAGGTCCACAGTTCGATTCAGGCTGGAGGCGAAAGAAACTCTGTAACCTTATGATGTTAGGAGCTAATAATCGGATATGGAGCCCTG